GGACTACTGAGAAGCTTTATCATTCTTTGTAGAATAGCTTTCTTCTCACTCAAATTCACGTAATTGACTCAATATTACTCTGTGATACAGCTTATTTGTAAGAAAAGGTTCTTTGAAAAAAAAATCCATAAATTGGTAGAAGTAAAACTTTTAAAAATTAAAATATAAAGGATTACTGAATTTTTTGTAAGCATCATTTTTACCTTTTGCTTTTCTTTTATTCATAAATGAAAATGATACGCTTTACATTATAAAATCAGTAAACATTTCTCCACTGACTCTAAGACTTCATAGGCCATCATGCAGGAGAGACAATTTACAACTGTTCCATCCTCACTTTAAGGCTTTCTTTACCCTTTATCTTCTCCATACCATGTAATTTGGCATAAATGGACCTGGAACACACACACTTGGTCAAATAAGGTGGTTAGAATTATAAATGGGCAAGGGAGTAAAGCTGAGAATTAATTAGGGTTTAGGAGTGAGACCAGAAGGTATGATAGCTGAGATGCATGTACAACTTTGTTGAAACAATACACAGCTACGACAAGAGGCAGGCCAGTTTTACATATAAGAGTTGAAGATTTCAGTGTCACACATTAAAAAAAAAAAAGAAAAAAAAACACCTCATTCCTGTGCTTTTTAGAACTTTCAAGATTCTGTAGAAGTTATAACTGTGGTTCTATGTAAGTATGTCAAATAAAACGGATGGGGAGGAAAAAAAAATGACCATGAAATAAAACAGTTTTCCTCCTTACTTTTAAGTGAACCAATTATTTAAGTTTATACATGTCTAAATTTGGGACCATTTTAACAAAGGACAATTTATCAGTAACAACTGCAGAGAATTTCTGAATCAACTGATGTATGTGTGACTCTGGAATTAAGTGGAGCTATTGTCCTATGTAATCAATGGAGACATGTGTTTGACTAATAAGTAGGCACATACAATAAGAAAATAAAGAGAAGCCAGGCAGAGGTCATTGCAGTTATACACTGTTCATATGGCGTGAAAAGCAAACCAGATATGTTATAACTAAGATAAAAGGCTATAAACAGACTCCTCCCTGGTGTTAAATCTGGATAGCTGGCATTGAATTCTGGTTTCCTGCATACCACAGAAGGCAGTAGGTCATTTTCTCACATGCCACAAGTTTGAAGGGGAATCACGTACCTAAACATACACACAATTCTACTTTCCTTCTTCTTCTCTATCCCTTTTGTGGAGGGTTAAAGTTGGCAGAAAATAGCTTTGATTCTAAAGCCCTTCAGCACTTTCTGTCTTCTCTAGGATGGCGAGACAGCCAGCTACCAGATTCCCGCAGAGATGCTATTGTTTGGTGCATTTCACGAGTGCACTACTTAAAACTAAGGAGAGGCAGTTCAGTAGTGAAGACTGTATGGGACCTTTGCTCTCACATTATTAGGCATTACTGAGTGAAATGAAAGATGAAATTTATTCACATAAACAATAATCTGAGTAGCTGGGAAGAGGTACATTTTTCTAATTCCTCTGGTAAATAGGAATTAAGAATTATATAACATTAAATAAAATTGGATATCAAATATGCATTTCTACATAAATACCACAAACACCATTTCAATATCAGACCATCAACCATGATGAAAATTAAGACAGGAACATTGCAAAATAAGCAATATTTCAGAAAACATGAGAACTCAAAGTATGAAATAAACAAGGCATGTAGTCAGCCAGTGCTAATTATCAAGTTAAGATATTTTTAGTGTGTTTATATAACTTGACATCTATGGTTGGGTCTTTATTCTGACTGCACAGTATTTTTACATATTTAATACTATAGAATTAAAAAGTAATATTCTAACTGCTTCAACTAAATCTCCTCTTAAAATCAGTATAGCATGAGATACCCAGGGATGTTCCTCAATTGACGCATATGATCAGTATTTCTATCCAGCAGAATACATACTTGGTGAAGATGTCAACTCTTAAAGACTTTGTTCTGGTTCTTCTGGTCTACATTATACCTCAATCAATCCAAAAGCATCAATAAGGAACACACTAGTGTTGAATGTCAAATCATATCATATTTAAAATAGTATCTACTTGTAGTTTTAAAAGTTCAGTAGTCTATAGTTAAATATAAAAGATACAGGATATACATTTATTCTGCTTAATCCCAAAATCTGACTAAACCATATAGCAAAGAAACGAAAGGCCATCAAAAACAAAGAATAGGAAAAGATGACAGTTTCTAGAAAAGCAATGTCAACAAAAGTTTGGAAGACAGTCTGAATAGATGGACAACCACTAACTGATTTAAGCTTCTGTTTACTCTGCTCTGCTGGGTGTACAAGGGAGAAACCCAGTAAAAAGAAAGCCAACTCATTCATTCATCAGCTCTGGAAAAGTAAGGAAATGAGAGATAGAGGGGACCTTTGAAGGAAAGGTTGCAGAACAAATGAAAATCGGATGACAGATTGAACGTCTATAATAGCAGTAATCAGACTTGGCAGATCTTGTCTCGCCTAATCATACAGATTAGGTCAGGGCCTTTCCCCAACTCTGGCAGAACCTAGAAGAAATACTATCTAAAGATGTTATATCAGAAAAGATTGGGCTTGGGGAGCACCATGCAAACCCCAGGGTGACAAAGACCTGAAAACAAGGGGCAGAGAGGGACCACAGACATGCATTTAATTAATGCCTGTACATGAAATGCTAAGTCTCTGAACCTTCTCCAATCAGTATCCGTAACACTGGCTGTCAGACTTATACCCCAAAAATGAAAAAATGGACAATTCTTGTTGGAGAAAATGAAAGACCCAAAAACCTGCACACAATGATATCCAAAAGTCCCCTCAAGGATAATGTAAGGTCCCTACTCAGTCACCTACAAAAAAGCCACCAATCAACAAGTTCCAGCTACTTGCACAAAACTTCTATTTTTTAAATGCCTCTTCCTTGAATATAATAAACAGATAATCAAAGGTCATGAGACATTTAAGAACAATCTCTAACAGGACAACGATTCAAGTAAAAAATGGAGGGGGATACTCAGAAAATAACACAAGGTACAAATTAAAAGATACTAATATACTTGAACTAAAACGTTATTAGACATCCATGACACAAGAATGCTGGGAAAACAGAACATCCAAAAGTCTTAAAAATTTTTTTAATTGATATAAAAAATTCAACAGAAGGGTTAAGAGAGTAAATTAAGAGAAAAATCAAGAAAACACAGTAAGATAAATGGAAAAAGGGAGAAATATTAAAAAACCATTCAAAGAACATGTCATTACTAAGAGCCCCTGAAAAAGATGACAGAAAACAGAATTTTATAAGAGAATCAATATAAAACTTCTGGATAAAAATAGCAGATTGAGGACATCCAGTGACTTCTGGTCTCTCCCTAATCCCCACCAAAATGACAGTATAAAGGAATTTAAGTACATAAATACAATGAACGAGAAGAAAAAAGCAGTAAAATTCCTCTAAAAAAATGACATTACTGTATTTATAAGACAAGGTGAATTGGAAATGATCAGTGATAGATGACAAGCCAGGAAGATGTGCCAAGTCCTCACTGACAGAGTGAAACGGCAACAGTTAAAGCCTAAAACTAACATCAAGCACGAGCTTTGTACCCACAAAGAAATAACAGCTGTAAACATCAAACAAAAAGGAGCTGTCTCTGGAAAGGCAGAAATGGAAGAGGAAATGTTTAATTTTAATAGAAGTAAGGGGGGAAACTGCCCAGTAATAAAGGATGAGTTCCCCAGATTTAAAAGCTAAACCTAGAATTTAACATAATTAATAATGAAAACTTCAGAACACCAAAAGAGAAAAGCATCTGGAGGGTGTATGGGAGGGGAAAGGGAGGCAAACGCCAAGAGCAAGAAGGCATCGACTTTCTCAAGAGCCTTCAAAAGTCCCAGGAAAAACGCTTTTTTCTTTCTTTTTTTTAAAGACTTTATTTATTCATGAGATACCGACGGGGGGGGGGAGAGAGAGAGAGAGAGAGAGAGAGAGAGAGAATGAGGCAGAAACACAGGCAGAGGAAGAAGCAGGCTCCATGCAGGGTGCCTGATACGGGACTCGATCCTGGGACTCCAGGATCACGTCCTGGGCCGAAGGTAGATGCTCAACCACTGAGACACCCAGGGATCCCCACCATTTCTTTCTGAGAATTTGTATTGAGCCAAACTATCAACTGAGTATTAGGGAAAAAAAAATAATTTCAGGCATGTAAGATTTCAAAAGTAAAAACCGTGGCATCCCTTTCCAGGACACTATAGGAGAATGCATTCTGACAAAGGGCTGTAAAGCAAGGAAGAACACATGATGTGATCCAAAAAAAGGCATAGAGAATTCTTAGGAAGACAGTGAAGAAAACCCCAGGTTAACAGCTATGCAGTAAGTTTACACAATTGAGAGCTCCAGAGGATACTCCCAAGGCAAAACAAACAGAAATGATGTACTTTAACTACTGAGGTTTAGATTTCTTCAAAAAAGTTTAGCATATTTAACAAGATTAAAAAATTGTTCCAGTAAGGTGATAAATAGCTATAATATTTTCATTGGTATCACTAAAACTGACTGATGATTTGGTAAAACATTTGTTTCCTTACTATTTTGGGAGAAAAGAAGGAAGAAAAAGGAAGGGGGAGAAAGGTGTAATAATCTAAAATTAAAGAAACATCATTATTACATAATATTTATACATAAAGAAGAAAATCTCGGAATACATAAAACAAGGTAAAGTGGTTCCTCTGTGACATGAAATTCACAAAAGAAAGCAAAGGCAAGGAACTGGCATCTTTTCTTGAATTTCATTTTTTAAACTATCTACCTCTACTTCGAAAGTCTTTTCTATTAAGTAAAGAGGATTTCAATAACAAAAAAAATATTCTCCAATGATCTAAAGTTTTTTCGAATCAGAGACAAGATCTAATTGTGTTAGCTATAAAAGGAGTACAAACTTATAAATTAATATCAATGATGTTTTGAAGGATACACTGCAAAAGATAAAACAAGCAGGCACCAGACTAAGCTGATATTCATTTCCTGTGTGGGCTTCATAAAATTGTAGTAGACTTCAGTTACTAGATACACAACTGTAGCAGCCACTGTGAAATCCACCAGCCACTGGTATTCTGGAAAATAATGCAACGCTGAAAAATAAAGGTTAAAAATAATAGTTTACTTAAACTTTCATAAATAAATAGCTAAGAAGGATTATCTGTAATTAACTTTAAACATGCTAGACTTTATCTACTTGTTGATATGCAATGTAAGGTTTACAAATATAAGAATCTAAAAATGCAGGAAACAGATTAAGAATGTTGATGCTTAAAATTTAATTTTAATACTTCCTAAATTTTTTTAAACCTGGAGTAATTACCAAAAATTATTTAAACTATTGTTAAAAATATATGATTGCAAAATGATCTGGTATCTTCTCAGCTGATTAGCTGTTTTTTACAGAAATTAAAAATCAAGTTATGGGATGCTTGGATGGCTCAGTAGATGAGCATCTGCCTTCAGCTCAGGGCGTGATCCTGGAGTCCTGGGATTTATAGATTTATAAATCTTTATAAATAAATAAATATCAAGTTTTGTTGTTTTTTTTTTAAGATTTTATTTATTTATTCATGAGAGAGAGAGAGAGAGGGAGGGAGGCAGAGACACAGGCAGAGGGAGAAGCAGGCTCCACGCAGGGAGCCCAACATGGGACTTGATCCTGGGTCTCCAGGATCATGCCATGGGCTGAAGGCAGCGCTAAACCACTGAGCCACCCAGGCTGCTCAAGTTTTTGTTGTTGTTTTTTTAAAGATTGTTTTTACTTATTTTACAGAGAGAGAAAGCATGAGCTGTGAGAGGAGCAGGAGAGGGAGACAACCTCCAGTAGACTCTGCATTGACTGCAGAGCCTGACTCAGGGTTCATTCAGTCCTACGACCCAGAGAGCATGATCTGCGCCAAAACTGAGAGTCAGATATTCAAATAATGGAGCCTCAAGATTTTTTTAAGAATCTAAAGTATGATACTTTAACTTGAGGACATAACTTGGTGTACAAAGAGAAGTTTACTTATACTTTTCATTTCTGTGAAGTAGGAGAGTTGAACTTTGCCAGTTATTAACTGCATGCACTAAAGGAGGATTAATAATTCTGTGATTTAATCAGATTAAAATAACAATAAATACACTTTTTATTCCCTCGTATGTTCCTGCAAGAAAAACTGATGAAATGCCTGTCAATTTTCCATAAAACCATACCCCTTCCAACAAAGGGTTTGCATTAAAATTAGCATTCTCTAATAGTAAGTATGATTCCATCTCCCTTTTCATCTCAGATATTCTGGTTTACTTTTACTTGAGTACAGTCCAAAGTAACAGCATCATTTTGTAGATGTTTTGAAATGTGGAAATAAATCACACACATAAACAGTAATTTCTATGTTCCCACTGGTACATAATAAAATGATCTACATTGTTATAAAAAAATTTATTTGTAAAATATAATATCTGAGAATATTTTAAAATCATGCATTCATAGAAAAACTATTTTGAAAATAAAATACCACTCAAAGTATAACTTATTTAAAATATCAAAACAAACCAATTAAACTTACATTTCTATAAGACAGCAAAAATTCCACATCCTTTTATGATTGGGTAAGTTTTTAATATGCTTCAAGTTATTTTAACTGTTAGGGTTTTTTTTTGTTTGTTTTTGGTGATAAATATAATAGCTTATGAACATCAAGTCTGAAGATTTACCCTCAAGTAGTTGAAAGATTCTCATGCTTTAGTCACCTCACTTCTCCTCTAATAATCACCCTTTTCAATGACTTTCCAGACAGGGAAATGGGTAGAATAGGTAAAAAAATATCCATTTGGGTATACAAATATCCATTTATATAAATGAGTAGACAATACCAATAATTTTAGGTTTTCAATTTTTATTAATAACTGAATTAAGTGTTCCAATTCTTCATGCCCACATTCACAGAGGCTTCCTCCAGGGAATTCACTCAGAGCAAACAGCCAAGTGACATATCAAATATTTTTGTGTTTTAAAAGGTTCTTATAATCAATAGCTAATACAAATTAAGACACACTTTAAAGATACTTAGTGGGATAACAATAATATATACACATTCAACAAAAGTACAAATTATACATATTCTTGGCTATATATTTAACACGAGTATTATATTCTTTTTCTATTCAATAATATAATTAACTATGTGCCTTTTATTAGGCTACTGGAATCAAAAGAAAACTCAGTTCATCAAGCCTCGTGGTTTGCCTTAAGCTCATGAGTGTACCTTAAATTTAGGGAGAAAACCCACTACTTTTACCTAAACACACATACTTAGCATCCATTCACAAATGATTACATAAACATAAATAAAACATCTCCCCATTATTCTATTCTTGAAATTAAATGGCCAGTTGTTAAACTAGTGCCATTTGCAATTAGTTTTAAAACTATACAAATGAAACAATATATTAAGTTGTGTGCTAAGGCCTTAATTTAAATCTTTTTTTTTAATTTTATTTATTTATTCATGAGAGATACAGAGAGAGAGAGAGAGAGAGAGAGAGAGAGAGAGGCAGAGACAAAGGCAGAGGGAGAAGCAGGCTCCATGCAGGGAGCCTGATGCAGGACTGGATCCTGGGACTCCAGGATCATGCCCTGGGCTGAAGACAGCTCTAAACCGCTGAGCCACCCAGGGATCTCCAATTTAAATCTTCTTAGGTTCATTACAATTGCCTAGTTCTCACTAACTGGCTCTACCACATTTGGTGTGTAACCCATACCAAATTAAATATTTAACCCTAGGAGTTCAAAGAGTTAAAAAAAAAAAAAAGTCCATTACAGTTACGTATCTCACAGAACTGGAAGGTTACTAAAAGTAAAGCATTTAAAACAATGCCTGGACTTGACGTGATGAGCACTGGGTGTTATTCTGTATGTTGGTAAATTGAACACCAATAAAAATTAATTTATAAAAAAAAAAATAAAACAATGCCTGGTAAATACTCACATTTAAGCCATTAATAAAGCTAATAAGCTGGTAATTAACTATTTAACATTAGTTATTAGAAAAGACAAAAATTTGCATTAGAAATTAGGGAGAATGTGTATATATTCTTGTATTTACACATCTGTGAACATTTTATACAAGTAAGTCCACATAAAAGATTAGTAAACTAATGTGACAGTCAAAAAGTCAAAGTGCTTTCAAGTATTTTAAATTTTGCATGAAAAATAATTAAAAAGAAAAAAGAGGATGATATAACCAGTCCCAACACAGTTGTAATGATACTGATTTATACTGTTCCTCATTGACATTTTTGGGTTCCAGGACACTCTTTACACACACACACACACACACACACACACACACACACACACAAATCTTTGTAAATATAGAATCAACTTTCAAATATCTTGAAGCCATTTTGTATCACTAAATAATTCTACATGAGATGCTACATGAATCTACTAAGGTTTTTCAAGGGTGGTTATGACTTAGCCCATGAAGGACCAATTACATAATGATATTTATACATTACCAAAATTATTTTTTAATGTTATTTTTATTCTTCACTTACCATGTAAACCATTATTTCTCAAACCTGATCAAAAGTCAGAACCACTAAGAGCATTTTAAAAAACACAAATTCAAATGAGGAGATGAGTACTAGGTGTTACACTATATGTTAGCAAATTGAATTTAAATAAATTTTAAAAAACAACAATAACACACAAGAACAAAAACACAAATTCCCAGAACCCACTCTATATTTACTGGATCTCCAGGGATAGATATAAAGAATCATTCTTTTCAAAGAGCTGCTCAAGTGATTCTGATGGTCAGGTTTGAGAATCAGTGTTTAATATAGTATCACCTTAGATGCCACTCTCTTAGAGAATTCAAATAATTTCACATAAATTTTAAATATAAAATTATAGTTATTATACCATTAAAACATTGGGATTTGGCGGAAAAAACTACATAACCTAACAGAGATATCCTGTAAGTAAGAGTAAAACCTGAATAAGTTTTCTGATTCCTATCTATTTCATTTCTCTAAAGTCATTTTCCTTTCTACTAAACATGAGCATAAAGTTCAGTCTTGTAAGTACAGGTAATTAAACACAAACACGCAAATGCATTTCTGCAAGCCACATCATAGAAGGAGCAGAATGGTATATATGGCAAGAAGTCTAGAATTCGAAATAATGAAAAGTGACTGTGATCTCAACATAAAATAGAAACTGTGCAACAAACATGTGAGTCAGCCTCTTCTGAAAAATGGGAAAAATAATCCTTAGTACAGGTTAGGTGAATAGAAAAAGAAATTCAATTCAGTGAAGTCATTTTGAGCTTCTAAGTTCTGAAAAAGATTTCATATTCTATAAAATGGACTTAAAGATTAAAAACCAAACAATAAATCTAACCACAATAGATAAAATGAAACTTTCACTTAGCATAGTATAAAACTGAGATTTACAGAACATTTTATCAAGATTTCCCTTACCTAAAGTATCCACTTCTGTAACTGACTTTGTTTCTAGATGGAGGTCAATATCCTTTGGAATAGTTAGTGGCTTACTTTCAATGTGACCATTATATTTCCTATAAAAAATGAGACAAAAGACACAAAAAACAAGTTACCTATACTGTTATCTAAGTGCTTCTATCAACTAATCACAAATGGGGTTTTAAATTTCACAGTAAAAAAAAGAATTTCTAATATTTCAGCAAAAAGGAGGTAAAATATAGTCACATGTAATTTTTACAGGGGAGACTACAAAATATGGATGTAAATTATTATGTGAATATGCAGATTACCAGGGAGTTACCTAAATTAGTGACATAATCTTGACTACTAGCTTAATATTTCACCCTATTTCTCCTACTCTATTCTGTAGATTTAAAGACAACTAACCTCTTTTTCTTTAGGTACAAGAAAAAAAACAAATCAAAAATTAAAGAAATGCCATTATCACATAATATTTAAACATATGGAAGAAAACCTCAGAATACCTAAAAGGGTAAAGTGGCTCCTCTGTGACATGAAATTAACCTAAGAAAGCAAAGGCAAGGAACTGGTATCTTTCCTTGTATTTCACTTTGAAACTATTACTTTAGGTACAAGAATAAAAGCAAATTGAAGACAAAATGTCTTTCTCTTGGAAATTATACATATCCACACATACATATAAAAAGACCTATAGCTATAAACAAGTCAGAGTTGAAGAAATATAGTAAGATTTATATGTGTAAGAAATCAGTCATGTGAAAGGAATCTGGAGTTGCTTTTACTGAATCACAAATGGGGAAAATAAAAGAATGCTTCAGGTGCACGTGTATCATTCCGAAATTTAAGTTTTAAAGACAATCACGCATACATAGAAATAAATTTAAGTTTCAATAGCAGTAATTACAATACCAAGAAACAATTTTCATTTATTCTGGGAAAACCTCAGTAAAAATATTAATTCATGTCAGTAAATAAAAAAATAATTATTGCTACCAGGAATAAAACAGTGTCATTTTTGTATCTTTTTTGTACATGTACAGCCTTTTTAAAATAATATAGAGGAGGGCTAACACTTAATATTCCAATGATCTTCAAGGTATATTTGCACCAATAAGTGTAAAAGAGGATGGTAGCAAGATCAGAAAAGTCTTTTTAGAATTTCCTATTTCATGACAAATAATCATTAATGTTTAAAAAAAAACTTTAGCACCTACAAATACATTAGCCCAGGTTAATATAATTTTTATGATACACATGAGAAATTTGGTGATAAATTTGTTATCACTGACATTTTGTAATATATTAGAATCATAGTTTCAGGTTCTAAGAAGTCCTCCCCAACTGAGGACACTAAGGTCCATATAGAGAGGCTAATTATCATGTACTTTCCTTGAGAATTCAATTTAAGAAGAGATATAAAATTTTAAAGCTGGAAAGATCCTTCAGAATTACTATGTTTGGTCCTTCCATTTCACAGATAACGCTGCTGTGGTCCACTCAAGGAGTTTATTAGCAGGCAGTTTTCTTCATAACTTAAAATGCCAATATAATATTCAGCAACTGAATGGGACCTAGGAAATTATACTGCCTACATTTTTTATTTGAAAAATGAAAAGAGGTCAAAAGCAGGCAAATTTGCCCAAAATCATAATACTGACTAACAGCAAAACCTGGAAAAGAACCCAAATCAACAGGTAAAAGAGTTATAGGGTCAAAACACAGGCTCTGGTTTTCTCCCCAGTCAACCTCCACCAAGTTTTAGTATGATGGCTAAACTGTTTTCATAATTTAAACACAAGAATATAATTAACCATTCTTAAGTAAAACAATCACTTCTATGCTCATATACTAAATTATTACATACTGGATTTTCTTAAAGCATAATTCAAAATTATCTTAGATCATGAGTTTTAATCTTGAATTTTTCGATGCTCATAGTATTAGCAATAAATGTTCCTTTAACCAAAGTACAAAATATCTTTACATAAATTGTATCAAACACTTAACACTTTATAAGCTCAGCAATGTAACTTACCTGTCTTTTCTGCTTTTCCCTTTCTGCTGCTTCCCTGCAAGAATTCTTAATTCTTCTTCTGTAGGATGTTGATACCATCTCAAACTAAGAAAAAAAGAATCCTTTTAAATAAAGGAATTAAAATCACCAAAATTATTCATTTACTGTACAAATATTTATTGATTTTCCTATTTGTGAAGACACTGAAGGGAAATCCCAGGTGAAAAACTCTAATCTGAATTAGATACTACTGCTTACGCCTTAAAAGGGTTTCAATTCAAATCCAGCACTTACCAAGCACTTACTAGATGCCAGACCCTGCAATGCTCTTTATAGGTATATTTCTTATAACTGACAATTATTATTATATATTAAGGCTAATAGGTGTACTATTAAAAGTAAATGGACTCTGCAGGCAAGCTGGAAGGAGCACATTAGAATTCTCCACCTATCCTTCATTTACACAGAAAGAATGGATAGTTGTTTTAAAAAGCATCCTTTCAATGTCCACAAAGCTACAAGTAGTCTTTGCTTACCTTTCCTATCTTCCCCTCCTTTAATTTACTTGGAGAATTCTCAAACTTTATGTAAGTTAGGGCTCCAACAACCGTGTGTACGTATTCACCTTTACCACACCATCAAAATATCCTGAATGAATCACTTATTCTCTCCCAAGCACCACTCCCTTGCTCATTCTCAATTTCCTGTCTCACCTGAATTTCCTATCTACCAACTACCTAAATTTGATATTCAGGTTTTATCTTCAATATGTCCTCTCCACATATTTATCATTAATTCCTGTTGTTTAACTCTTAAAATTCTAAACTTCTCTGTCCCCTGTAAGAACCCGAGTTCAGCACATGTGCCTCTCTAGCTCTGACTACTAGCAACACTCTCTAACTGGTCTCCTTGTCTTTCCTGGACACTCTCCTAAATGCATTCTGATCCCAACTCTAGTTAGCTTTCCGTAATGTAAATGCTATCAAGGTAAATGCCTGTTTAATTCCTTTCCAAGAGTCTTCACAAGGTAAAGCAGTGAGTAGGCAGCTAGGCAAAGACTTTGATCAAGGCTCTGTTCTTATAAAGGAGAAACATACACCTAAAATTGCTAAACCTACCAATTTTTCAATCACAAAAATTTAAATTTTTAAAGTAAAATATCTCAATTAAAAAATGTTAGCAACTGATTTGCTGTTTTTAAAAAACACTGCAGAACTGGCAATTTGAATAATGACTGAGCATCTGATGATGTTAGGAAATTACTGTTAAAAACTCTTAAACTCTTAGCTGTAAAAACAGGATTATAGTTATTTTTAAAAGCTCACATATTTTAAAGATATACACAGAAATATCTAAGAATGAAATAATATTTGCTACAAAATAGTATGTTGGGGGTAGGAGAGATGAAGGGGAACACAGATGAAACAAGCTGACCACCAGGTGTTAACTGTGATATGTACATAGGAGATCATTATAATCATCATATATTCACTATATTGTTATGTTTACTCTTTGTTTGAAATTTTCCATTATAATCCGAACTGTAAGGCCCAAATGTGCATAGGATTTGTGACCTATTTCCAAAGATTTTCATGATCTGACTACTATCTACTTTACCAGACTCACCTTCAACAATTCCCCTGTTGAACATGACATTCTAGCTAACTAAACATTTTATTCCATAAATTCATTCATCCCTTGATGTTTCTGCATATATTCTTCTATCTGCTTATAAACATCTATGACCCTATCTGGCAAACTTCTAAATTACCTTTTACTATTTATAAGGCAATTTGCCCTGTGGTATAAAAAAGAAATGTATCTGGTAATGTCCCCAGTTCTGGACAAAGAGCTTTAAAAGCCTTTGGAATTTCCTGAGTGATAGGGGGGGTATCTTTGTTATGTTAACTAGGGGACTCCTGGTGGACCTTCAGGTAACTTTAGGATGGTGGCTAATCACCAGAAATATCAACTATGTGATTAGAATTGGATTCTTAGCCATACAATCTGAGGAGGGAGATGGAAGCTAGAAATTAAGTTCAATCATGTGTCCATGTATTTAAAATCACACCTATGTAATGAAACTCGATAAACTCTCTGAACAATGAAACTCAGAGGAGCATCTTGCTTGGCCAAAACACTAATGTACTTAGAGGATGACAGGTCCCAACTCCACAGAGAGGCCACAGAAACTGTTCTTCCCAAACCACTTCCTGTATCATCTTTATAATAAAACTATAATCATAACTGTAGCACTTTCCTGAGTCCTAGTTGTTCTAGCAAACTATTGAACAGGAGGGGTGTCATAGAAACACCCCAATTTGTAGCCAGTAATCAGTTTTCAGAAGTATGGGTGGCCTAGGGATTCCAAGAACTTGCAGCTGGCATCTGGAAGCGTAGGCATTCTTAGAACTTTTGTCTTTAACCCACGGAGTCTACGTTAACTGCAGGGAGTGTCAAAATTAAATTGCAGCTGGTATCAGACCAGTTTGATTAAAATCAAATACTCCCCTAACTGAAAGATTCTTGGAGTGAAGATTTTATGACTTGTTTTTGTATACTTCAAAACTAGTACAGTTACTGGCATATAGTAAGTGCTCAAAAAGGATCACTGAACCAAAATGAATTCAGTTCTCTTAGTTGAAAGGTTTTAAAATATATACCCCAACCAAAAAGTCTCTAAACTATAATTAACATGGGTGAGGAGGGACTTCCTGAAATTTCGATTTAAGTCCAGAATTTTAACTTACAGTCGATTCTTGTTATTCGCGGTAGTTATGTTCTATAAAGTCGCCGCGAACACTGAACATTGCTCCTAGGGGAAATACAGGGTTAGGTTCCTGCGAGCCTCTGGTCACAACATTTTCATCAACCAATCAATACAAAACTTTGTTTTATGTGTGTTTATGTTTAAAGACACCTTATTTAATATATACTGTTGATTCATTTACATTTAATTCCCAGCCAACAGCACCATAACTCATGCCTAAACAAAGTTTACTTAATAACTGTAGTATTAAGGATAGTATTTTCCTAAGTTGTGAATACTTCTAGCAAATTTTCTCCATAAGGCACATCATAGCCTTCTTGTGCTTAGGTACACTAGATAGCCAGCCCTTCAGCACTATGTTTGGAGGCCATTTTAAATAGTGAAATCAACAAAAAGCTAAAACGTGAACAACATGATACTAAATAGACCATGAAAAGCACACTCATTTACAACATGAAAGGTGAAACAAGGCATCAGCTGGGAATGTGGGCAATGGGCCACTAAAATTTTTTGCCACTCTGGATACATCTATGAATGACCTTGGAAGCACCACAAGTATGAATTTGGGGGTTACAAATGAACTTCAGCAAGTACGCAAATCACAAATACAGAATCCATGAATGATGCGGACTGAGTGCATAACATTTAGAAGAACACTTAAGTAATATCTCACTTATAAAGACTAAAATCAATCATTTAGCTATGAGAAATAATCATTATTATCAGTGAAAGAACTCTTAGTACAGGAAAACTTAAGTTACTTTTAGAACACTATAATAAACGATCCTTACATTTTCCAGGACCCATTTTCTTTTTAAATAAACTCAAACGTATTTAATCTCATTTTGTGAACCCATTTTTCTAAAATGGATTGCACTTACTATACTTTTTACTGGGCAACTCAGGTCATCTACATCAGTAATAATTATTGTTCAAAGCTGGAACATAAGGATGCTGGGTGCTCTTAGGGCCACTTCTAGTCTGTTACTCCTGTACTATCCTATCCATCCACTTGTTCATTCATCAGAACTTACAGAGCTCCCTATAGCCAAGTACTCTGATGGACAATGGAGATATATCACATACAATAAAGTCAAAGTTCCTGCTTTCTTGATGCTTATATTCTAGCTGGGGCAGAATTTAACCAATTAAAAAATGACCAAAAAACAAAAAAATCACAATTTGGATACTACACAAAAGAACCAAACAAATGATGAAAATGAGAGAGACAAGCCTTAGGTTGTAGGCTAGGAAAACTCCTCTGATAAGGAATTTACCCAGAAACCTAAAGGATGAGAAGAATGGAAGGGAACAGCATTTCAGGCAGAGAAGAGCATGTCCAAAAGCACAGAGGCATGAAAGAACACAGACCACGGCAGTAACCAAAAGGCCAAAAAGGCAGTCGCACCATAGGCAAAAAAAAAAAAAAAAAAGTATGAGGGAGGCTAAAGAGAACAGATCATGCAAAGCCTCTTGGATCATGGTATGGGGTTTAGATTTTATGCTAAAATAACGGTCTCAAAGCAGGAGACAGAAATAACTCGATTTGCCTTTTAACATCTTTTTTTTTGCTGCTCTGTGAATTAGAAGCAGGCAAGGAAAGAAGATATATTTTGGACACTGAGTCAATAAGTCATTTTCTGAGATGTAGCAGAAGAGGAAGAATCAAAAATTTAAACATGCTAAGTTTTTAAGTGCCTATGAGACATCAAGTGAAAACATCAAGTGGATACCATACATAAGAATCTAAAGCTCAGAAGTAACCTGGAGTCATTACATAATTGTGGTATTTATGGAATCAATAAGAGCACCTAAGGGGAAAATAAAACATGGTAGAAGGCTAAGTAGTTAATAAAGAAATAAAAAGTAGAGTTCATGAAGACAATGCATGTGAGAGATGCAGCTGTAATGGAAAACAGGGAAATAGACCAAAACTAAAAAATGGTCATGGGAGGGGCCATGTTTTTTTAAGGCAGAAGGGAGACAGGGCTGTGACTCTATTTATTGTTGCTGTTACTTTTAATAAAAGATTTTATTTTATTTTATTTATTTTTTATTTGAGAGAGTGAGAGAGCATAAGCAGGGGGGAGTGGCAGAGGAAGAAGCAGGCTCCTCCTTGAATAGAGAGCCCTAAAACAATGTGGGGCTTGATCCCAGCACTCTGGAATCATGACCTGAGCCAAAAGCAGACACTTAACTGACTAAGCCACCCAGGCGCCCCAATAGGAGACCTTTAAAACATTAAAACAAAACAAAACAGTATGCGTATGTGTGTATGTGCTAACAGGAATAATCCAATGGAAGTGAAGCAATTAATGACAAGCAAGAAATGAAA